ACCTCGCTCAGCCAGTGAGCGGGAACCGGTCTGTATGTGGGATCCGAACCCTCGGCGGGAGCGCCACCACACTCCCAAGCGGTGCACTGTAGCAGTGCGCCACCAGGCCGGCCCTCAAAGCAATTTTGACACAAGGTAATTCAAATAAATTAATATTCTAATTTAAATAAGAAATAGCAATCTCTCCTCCAGCACTTGCTATGTGATAGGCACTCATCTAGCACTTCAGCATGATTAAAATATTGAATCCTTACAACAACCCCATGAGGTAGGTACTATTGTTAGTCTCATTTTATAGGTCAAAAAACTGAGGCACAGAGAGATTAGGCAACTTGCACAAGGTTACCCAGCGAGTAAGCAGTGGGGCCCAGATTTGAGCCCAGACAGGTTGGCTCCACAGTTCACGCTTTTTAACCACTATGCCCTGCTGTTCTAATAGACTTATTTGGTTAGAACCAAAAGCTCACACAACAAAATGTAGGCTGATTTACATTACCACATTCCCAAAATAAGAGTGAAAACCTACTGAGCTCTTACCATGTGACAAACAATTTTCTGAGTGTTTCTGAAGTATTAGCTTTATATCCTCCCATCAGCCTTGTCAGGTGGGCACTAACTAAACCCCATGTTGTTAAATCCAATAGTCTCTCAGTCTTTCTGGATTTGTCAGCAGCATTTGGCACAGCTGAGTCTCCCATCCTCCTGAAATTACTGTCCACAGAATTTCTAGGCCGTGATGCTCTTCTGGTTTCCCTCCTACCTCACTGACCATTTCTCCTCAGTCTTATTTGCTGGTTCCTTTTAATTTCTAAACACTGGAGGATGTCAAGACTCAGTACTTGTACTTTGTTCTGTCTCACTCACTCCTTGGCACTCTCATCCAGCTGTGTCTTTAATATCTTAAACGCTGCGACTCCTCAAGGTATTTATATTTTCTGCCTTGGCTTCCTACCTCTTATGGATTGAGTTGTGTTCCCTAAAATGATATGGTGTAGTCCTTACCCCTGGTACCTCAGAATGTGGCCTTATTATAGGGTTGTTGCAGATATAGGAAGGTACTTCAAAAAGTTCATGTAAAAGAGAATTGAAAGACAATATGAATCCTTCCATGAATTCTTTGAAGACCCTTTGTAGTTAGTTACAATAAGGCCATACTGGAGTAAGGTGGACTTAAAATCCGACATGACTGGTATTCTTATAAGAAGAGAGAGACACACAGAAAAACACCATGCAGTGACAGACATTGGAGCGATACATCCACAAGCCAAAGAGCACCAAGGATTGCTGGTCACCCCAGAAGCCGGAAGAGGCATGGGAATGATTCTCCCTTACAGCCTCCAGAAGGAAGCAACCCTGCTGATGCCTTGAATTAAGACCTCCAGCCTCCAGAAATGTGAGACAATAAATGTCTGTTATTTTAAGCTGCCCAGTTCGTGGTACTTTGTGACAGCAGCCCCCCGGTTTCCTACTCAAATCTAGATTTATATTTTCAACTACCTA